ATAAGTGAATTTAGCAAGATCTTAGGATACAAGGTTAATATAGAATCAATTGTATATCCTGAGATTTATCTCAGGAATACAAAACTGGTTTAAAATGTGAAAATAAATGTAATTTACCTTATGTTTACATAATAATCTACATAGAAAATCCTATGGAAGTTGAAACATTAACTAGTATTGAAAAGTGAATTTAGAAAGGTTGCAATATAATCAATACACAAAATAAATGGTATTTCTATATGCAAAAAGGGGTAACTGAAAAAAAAAACCAATAATACTATTTGCATGGTTCTGCCAAAGACAGAATCTGAGATATTAATCTTGATTTCTCTTTCCTTCATGAACCTACTCTACCTTAATCAAACCAACAAGTTCTGTTGACTTGATCTCCTAAATATCTCCAGCACTTACCCACTTTCCTTCATCTCCCACAATCATCATTTTTTTCCTAATGAAATCCGGCCCTAATACTGAAACCAGACCCTAATACTTTTCCTCTCCTAATTTTAGTGTCATTCAGGAGATAACAGGCCTCCTCACAGCTCTTAGGAGACTACCAGACCAAGCCAGATCAGGCTGGTCCCAGAGGCTTGAACGGGTGTAGTTAGCAGCTAAATAACCCTAAGCTGACCTCAGGAGCACAGCAGAACCAAAATTCACAGAATTTAAGTAGCAGAGAAGCTACTTTTACCACACAGCGCCCTTTAAGAAGTTAGGAGGTCAGTCAATAAGAAAGATCTGGTGCAGTGACCAAATTTGGACACAAAATAGGACTGATAAATCAAACTCTGCCAGATTTTAATTTCCTGGTTCTGTGTGGCCCCTTCCACATCCCTAACCTTAGATGGCTTAGCTCCAAGACTACCTAATCAGACCCCCTGAATTTGAATTAATAAATATGTATAACCTCTCCTTACCCTCACCTCTTAAAACTGATCCCAAATCCTTTGTCAAGAGAGACTAATTTGAGCTTCATCTCTGGTCTACTCATTCAGCTGGCCTGACATATAAATCTCATTTCTCTGCAAACCCTGCTGCCTCAAACTTTTGGCTTCTCTGTAAGTGGCCCACAAGGAACTCACCTTTGTTCGGTAACACTAGTAACTTCATTATTGCAACAATCTCCTAATTGTCTATTTGCCACTGGCTAAACTGTAACCAGAGTGATATGTCTAAAATACAAGTCTCATGTTACTTATGTAAATAAATCCTTACAGGTGAGTATAATCTTTTAATAGATTAAAAGGCACTTCATGACCTGATGAACTGCTCAAACCTTATACCATATGCTCTTCTTGCTCTGCATTCCATTGATGAGATTTTTTTCAGTCCCTCAAATGCAGCATTCCTCTCTCTTTGCCCTAGAACTTTGCACATGATGCCAATTCTCTCTGAAAGACTTCTCTGCACCCCAGATCTGTTCATCATTCTTTCCCCAAATGGAACAAGGTTAAAAGAGACCACAAGTAAAAATTTAACGTTTGGCAGGCTACCAAAGAGATTTATACAATAGCTAATAAAAGCCCAAATTAAAGTATTACAGTAGAAACAGATGAAAGAAATATGAGAAATACTGACATGAAATAAAAGCAAGCATTTTAGCAATCATGTTCACTTTGTACTAAAACATGGCTTGTTGATATAAGAGTAATCCTCTATGTAACTTTTGCTATATTTCTTCAAACCTGATGAAATAATTTTAAAACTTTTGAGTTATGTAAAAGGAATCTTCAAAGGATAGACCAAGTTATTCCATATGAATTATTTCTTACTTCAGTTATGTTACTTAACATTAATCCTATTGCGTTAGTGCAGAGATTTTTCAAAATGTGGTTCCATAAACTAATAGCATCAGCATTATAGGAGAACTTGCTTGAAATGCACATTATTGAGCTCCACATTACACTTTCTGAATCAGAAACTCTAGGTAGAGGGCCCAGAAATCTGTATTTTCACAGACCTTCAGGTGATCCTGATATAAATTCAAGTTTAACTTATAACCACAAGGTTAGGGCATATGGAAACAGTTGTAAATCAGAAAAATATCACAACCACAATACAAACTACCAGAAGGATGAAACTGAAGAAAAACAAGTCAAAAGTAAGTGATAATCTACTCTTTATTTGACTGAAGTACACTGTAATTCACTTTGGGGGCAAAAAAAAAAAAAAAAGAAAAGAAAAGTAAATGTACATATGAATAATATAATCTCAAGGCTCTGAAAAATATCATGCTGATTAAGGCCACTAAGGAACAGCCACCTTTAAATGCTTAAAAACTAAAAAAATTGTGCATAGTGAATTATAACCACATTACTCATTATTTTGCTTACTCACTCAAACATTTACTGAATACTATTATTATACAAGACATTATATAAGAGCAAAAGCGATAAATAGGTTTTAAATGAAAACGACAAATTTCAAAAAGTCAAAGCTTTCTTTAAGGAATTTTGTTTGCCATACTGGAACTCATTACCAAGGAAGATTCTAAAGAAAAAAATAGTCAACTATGATTCTATTTTTGTTATGTACAAGATCACAATAAAACCTTAGGTGCTTTTTTTAGTTTATTATAAGTCAAATTAATTTAACTTCAATGTGTGTCTAAGGCAATATTAGTTCTGATCCTCTAAAACTAATATATATAATATACACATGCAACATATACATATGTATAATAGATAAGCTTTAAGATGAAAAAACTCTGAGCTAAGGATTGACAAGGATTAATCCTTTTAGAATATTACCAAATACCTTTGATCACTGCTGGTAATTTTATTGCATGGTTACTGCCTCTCCTCAATACGTTCATTTTTATAAGTCCTGTGCATCTATATCATCATCTTTTGGGAAGTAACATTTTGCCATAGGGAGACTATAGGATTTTGAATCAGATAGATATGAGTTTAAATCCTTTCTCAGCTGCTTGTCTGTGTCATTAAATAAGTTTCATTAGCCTCAGTTTTTCATCTTCAAAAGAATTTTGATGATACTTTCATAAGATTATGTGAATTTGGTTTACTAACAAGTCCACAAGAGATGTTTCATAAATGTTACTCCCTTACTCTCTTCTCCTTTTAAGAATGGCATTCCATTCCCTCGATACATTATTTATCCTTAAAGTCTTGATATATTTCATTTTGACAATCAGAAACGAGACACTACTTATAACATTTATGCTGTAAAGGTCCTTCCTTGGACACATTTTGGCATTTCACAGGTTTTCTGAATATTTAAATATTGAAATTGTAGTGCTATGAAAGACTTGCATGGGGAGTTAGGAAACCCACGTCTTGTTCCATTAATGACAGCAAGTAGCTCAGGCTTCAATCTCCTTAGACTGAGATAATTTCTTATGAAAAATAAGGGTGTTAGACAAGATAACCTCTAAAGCTTTGGGTCTTTCAAATTCTATAATTCTAATTTCAGGGGAAGAATAATTTTGGATCATTAGTAATTGGACCTGGGAATATATCTTATTTAGGAAGGAATGCTTAAGATAGAAAAGTAAGACAAAGAAAAAGTAGGAGACAGAAGAAAGATCAACCCAGATCAAAATACCTCTGCTTACCGACATTCATCCTGCTGTAATGGTTTTAGAACAGAAATGCCTTCTTGCATACAAATTTATGTGATATAATTATTATCTCGTAATACATATGATCTCAATTTGTTCTTCTAGAATACTTTCTCACGGATGCTGGTTTTTCACACTCATGACAGTGAACATGGTGGTAAGTAGCTGGTGTCTTTCTCACTTGTTGTCTTGTCACTTCTCCAATCTAAAGACGGGCTTTATAGCTAAGAGGGTTATGAGAGTCAGCAAGATAATCTAAGAATTATCTTTTCTTTAAACCTCAGTGTTGCTCATACTGAGGTATGGCAGATACCTTTCTGGTGTTTGCCTGGTTTACGATTTATCTTCCTGGAAAAGCTTGCCTTATTGACATTTCTACTCACTTCCATTTCAACATGTGTTTATTTATCAAGAAATAACATTACTCCTCTAGGCCCTCAGAAAAGCTCAAGTCATCTGGTAAAGGCATCAAAGTATGAGGAAAGTTTATGTTTTAGGTCAGTACAAAAGGATTTATTTCTCCTGAGACTAGCTGGCCAGAGAACCACTTTTTCAGTCTCTCAATTTTTCTAAACTACACAAAATGTTTCCTTCAAAATAGTCATTCTCCTGTACTAATCGAAAAGGATATATTACTTTGTAAAAGAACTCTCTATAATCATATAAATTTACAAAGAATTCAACATTGTTCATCATATGCTTTCTTCTATTTCAACATTTACCACATGCTATCTTCTATTTTTATGATGTGATCTTTCCAATAAAAAGAATCATGATTATAATTACTAAGGAATTAGTAACAATCTAAAAAACTTAATAACGTCCAAGAATTGAAGAGCTCTGAAATATAATCGCTATCTCATTTGGGAGGGTTTCCACTGAATCTTCCTACTTGGAATACTTATACTTAAGAAATTATGAATTTTGGTTAAAAACAGCTCACCATGAATGTCACAAAAACCTTATTTCATTTTAACACAGGATAATTTATGTAAGACTCAAGATACATTAATGTTTTAAAATATTTTAATATTAAATTAATTTTAATTATGTAATACTCAAGATACATTAATGTTTTAAAATATTTTAATATTAAATTAATATTTTACTTTTTATGCCCAATTTTCTCTCTTTAAGTCAAGAGTCATGAATTAGATTTACTTCTTAGTTGTCTGAGACACATAAAGAAACTAACACTAGATTTACAGACTGACTTATAATTATAAAAACCTTAAGGAAATAACCTTACAGATTAAAACATCAAGAAAGCGAGGAACAAAGGAAAAGAATTACCTCTAATCATTCAAATTAATACTTTTTAAAAATTCACTAAATCACTGAACATTATAAATCAAAAAGTATTTTATATTACGAACAGAGAGAAAAGCTAAAATAAAGATGAACAAAAGCTTAAACTTACTGGGTTATCTGTAGAATCATCAGCCAACTGTAAACCAAAATAGTCACGCTCAGTCAAATCAAGATGCTTGAAGACTATATCCAACAAAACTTGCCCCAGATCATGTTTCTAGAAGAAAAATAAAAGAAAATCAACACTGACAGGCTATATATGCTTTCAGATTTTTAATCTCTTGGACTTTTCTTCTATTAAATTGGCAACTGTTTCCATACTAATGACTTGGTTGAAAATAAAGACTTCATAAAAATCAATTTGACTTTAGGCAAACTAATTCAAAGAGACATAATAAATATGAAGATATAAGGAAAACCTTTGATTGAAAATGGCTTCTGCTTTCAGGCCAATATCATGGTGTTTTGTAAATTTCATATTCTTGTCACATTAACTCATATATATATCCATGTCACTTGTCTTGTTTTATTCTTAGGTTTAAATAACGACTAGAAAGTAACATATTTGACTACAATTTAAAACTTGTGTCTAAAATTAATATCACAAAAAAGCAAACAAAAATGGTGAAAATTATTTGTAGCAAACTGACAAAAGATTAATATTTTAATTATAAACATATTGAGAGAACTTTAGAAAAATATCTCATTATATCCTCATACCAATTCTATCATGTAGGCGTTATTTATTATACTGCTATTTTAGTAAGAGTAACTGTAACTTTCCTAAGTTCCACAGCTACTAAGATGTGGTAAAAGGTATGGTTAGATACTTCCCTGAAGAAAATATGAAACTAATAAATAAAAACTTGGAGAAATAATAAACATGTTTAGTAATAAAAGAAATCAAAGTGGAAAACTATAATGACAACAATCCAAAAAGACTTCCAATAAGTAAGATAAAAAATACTTATTGCTGGTAATACTGTAGATAGATACAACCTGTTGGGAATGCGTTTGGAAATATTAAGCAAAAGCAATAATGATAGTGACTACTTCCAGCATCCTAACCTAAGTGAAAAGTAAAATCCAATATTGAGGGAAATATACGCCAATATGTTCAACTGAAGTATTACTTGTATAAGAAAATATTAGAAAACACATGCTAGTAAATATTAGAAAACAAATGTTAGTAAATAGTGGTATATTTTACCACTAAATTTTCCTCATTAAATGAGCTACAGCTGTTTGGTGTCTTCTAGCTACAAGTTAGAATCAAAACTCCGAACTGAAACAATATGAACATCTATTTTTTTCATATAATAGAAAGTACAAAGGAACAAGAAGACTCCAGAGATGGCCAATTTCAGCAGATGAGAAATATAATCAAGTACCAGGTTTCTTTCCATCTCTCTTATTCGCATTCCTATTGTTGGCTGCATTTTAAGCTATAAGCAAGATGGTCATAGCAATATCAAAATTTATACCCTTACATGACAATGTTTTAAAGAACAACCTTCCTTGTAAGGTTACCTTACAAAGAGCTTCCCTTCACGTCTTACTGGTCAGACTGAGTCAAAGGTTATTTGCAAAACTCATCGATGGCAGGGAAGTATGTGCTTCAAAGAATGCTTCACAATGGTTGTTCCCATTCGAATTATCTGTGAATATTTTTTATATTGATGCAAGTCACTCTCCCACCCTCTCCCATTCTCATTAAGTTGGTCCAGGATGGAGATGAATCTTTATAAAAAGCTACTAAAGTAACTCTAATGTAATCTTCCAGAGACTAAGATAGAGTAGACCCATTTCTCCCTATATCTCCAGCTAAGTGAAACTTAAAAAAAAAATTAAAAACAAAAAAATCTCTGAAAGGTGAAAAGAAGCTGGTAACTTGGCTAGGGAATTCCTTGAGTTTTCTTTCCATTTCTTTTTATTGAGGTAAAATTCACATAATATAAAGTTAACCATTTTAAAGTGTGCCATTCGGTGGCATTTAGTACCTTCATAATATTGTGCAACCATCATCTCTATCTAGTTTCAAAACAATGTCATCCTTTCAAAGAATACTGTAGCTATTAAACAGTATTCCTTCCCCCAGGCCCTACCAACCACTAATCTGCTTTTTGTCTCTATGGATTTACCTATTCTGGATATTTCATATAAATGGGATAGAGCAATGTGTGACCTTTTTTGTGTTTGGCTTCTTTCACTTAGCGTAATGTTTTCAAGGTTCATCCACGCTGTAACATATAACCACACTTAATTTCCTTTTTGTTGTTAAATAATATTCCATTTATGTGGATATATCACAATTTGTTTATCTGTTGGAAATTTGGATTGTTTCCACTTTTGGGTACTGTGAATAATGCTGCCACAAACAGTGGTATACAAGTATCTGAATATCTGCTTTCAATTCTTTGGGGTATATATATATATAGAGAGAAGTGAAATGAATGGATCATATAGAAATTCTGTTTAACTTTTTGAGGAACCACCAAACTCCTTTTTACAGCAGCTGTAACCATTTTACGTTCCCATCAGCAATGCACAAGAGGTTAAACTTCTCCACAGCCTTGCCAACATATTTTCTATTTTTTTGATTAAAGCCATTCCAGTGGGTATGAAGTGGTACTTCATTGTGGTTTTGATTTGCATTTCTATAATAATGAATGATGTTGAGCATTTTTCTCATGTGCTTGTTGGCCATTTTTATAAGCTTTGTAGATATGTCTAATCAAGTCCTCTGCCCATTTTTAAAACGAAGTTGATAATCTCTTTATTATCAAGTTCTAAGAGTTCTTTTTATATTCTGGACACTAGACCCTTACTGGATATATGACATGCAAATATTTTCTCCCATTTTGTAAGTTGTCTTCATTTTCTTTGGTGTCATCTCTAAGAATTCATTGCTAAATCCAAGGTTATGAAGAATTATCCACGTACTATTTTCTAAAAGTTTTATAGTTTTAACTCTTACTCATAGTTCTCTCAGTCTTTCTGAGTTTCCTTGAAATAAAATCCTAGACAGATGCCCATAATAAACCGCATGTGGAACTGATTCAAAGTAAAAGAGCAAAAGGTTTAAAAACTTAATTACAGTGTGGAACACATGCACGATTTTCAGTTAGGTCTCTGGATAAGACAAACACACAAACACACTCACACTCACATGTAGTAGACCAAAATAGTAATGCAGAGGTTCTGGAAACCAAAAGTCATTAGAACCACAACCCACAAAAGTAGGCCACGACTCGTATGCTACCAAAGTGAATCCCTGCTACAAAGAAGACTAAATACAGTCCAAAGTCTTACATTGCCCCAAATGTTTACATAATCCATTAGAAATGGAAGGGGAAAAAAAACAGAAATGAAAACATAAAAAAAATCAATGGCAAATTTAAGCTCTAACATACAAATAATTACACGAAAGTAAATAGCCTAAACATGTGAATAAAAAGCAGAGGCTGAGAGAGTAGGAAAAGAACCAAGGTACAACTATATATTGTCTAAAAGAAACTTCTTCAAATATAATTATGTATGTAAGTTTGAAGCAAAGGGATAGAAAAAGATATAACATGCAAATATTATTTTTAAAAAGGAGACAAGACCAGATAATTTAATCAGGGGAAAAGGAAACTACAAAACATTCATGTACAAAAGAACATAGCTGAAAAATAAATAAAACTAAAATTAACAGAACAGGAAAACTAGAAAATAGAAAAAGCATAAATTTAACTAGAAATATTGATAATTTAGCAATTGCTAGAATTACGAAACTGAGTATCAGCCAGAATATAGAAGTCAACAACATCAACTAACAGGATCTAACTGACATTTATATGATACTCTACTCAACAGAATACCCATTTTTTTAAGTGTCTATGGAACATTCACAAGATTATATCCTGGGTCATTAAATAAACTGAAAACAACTGAAATCATATACAGTATGTTCCATAAACACGATGACACCAATAATAAAAAAAAAAACCACACTTAATACATTAGACACTGTTGCAAGTGTACATGTATTGACACATCCAATAATAAAAATAGCCAACACTTATTAGACATTGTTGCAAGAGTACATGTATTGACACATTTAATTATCCTAACAATCCTATGAGGTAGGTACAATTAAGAATCGTTACAGAGTCCAGAGGAAACATGGCTTAGTGAGAAATGTCCCCAGATTGCTCCCCTCGAAACAACAATAAGCTGAATATCTAAAACTGAACAAAAAATACCCAAACCGCACACCAGCATGTCTGAGCGTGGGATCTGCGCATAAGAGCTAACACAGGTCAGAACCCCGGGTGCTAGGCGGTGGACTGTGAGAAATAAAGAAGCTGCTTCTCACAGCTGTCAGCTCCTGGGAGGGATAGGGAGAGGAGAGAAGGTGCAGCGACTTCCCTGAACAGCCCTTCCTGAGAGAGTTTGGAGTTCCACACAGCAAGCAGTAGGGCCCCGCCATCAGGGTAGAAAGCAGAGAAGCGGACGGCAAACAAACAACAGTTGATATTTACAGGCCGCGTTGCAAAACTGAGGCTAAGCCGCAGCCCCCAACCCCTAAACCCCAAACCCCAATCCAGAGGGCCCCTCCCCCTATACCCTCTAAGACCAGTCACCTTGGAGCCCCAGGAGAATTTGAGCAAACACTAACAAAACAGTTGCTAACACAGACAGGGACTGAAACTGAGGGTAGCAAACATGATTAAATATCTACAAGCAAATAAAGGCATTATATAGAGGCATTATTAAGGCTTTATATAAAGCAGCAACCCAAGAGGCTTAGACGCGACCTACTGGAAACCAAAAGAAAAGCACCTTCTTTGCAACAGACTAAAGAGACTTTTATATAATAAATCTTCTTACTGGAAAAAAAGCAGAATACATTTCCATTAATGCTCAAGGGAAGAAACAGTCCATTAAACACCATGAAAAACCAACGTGACAAGGCATCTCAGAAAGAAAGAGAAAAATCTCCAGAAAATAAGCTTACAGACATAGAAATATGCAATTTAAATGACAGAGAATTCAGGATGGTACCTCTGAAAAAACTCAGTGAGTTCTGAAATGAGTCATATCAATAATTTCAGGAACTGAAAATACAACTAGATGAGCAGAGCAAAGAGACTGAACCCCTCAAAAACAACAGAATAGAACTTCTGGAGATAAAAAAGAAACACACTGCAAGAGTTGAAAAATGAAATAGCA